TGCTTCTATAAACGTTCTAAAAAGTATACATGCATTTGTACGTATAATGGTAAATCTCAGTTGAGTTACTTAAATTTTTGTGTTTAAATGTGTCAGTATTTCTGTAATTGGCTGAGTTTGCAATAATATTCTGAGCATTAATATCTTAAAATTACAGCCAAAGTGCATTTTGGTTGTCACTTTGCAAAACATCAGAGCTATATTATGCTTTTCTTCTTTTTAACCACAACAAAACCAAACGTTTAAGCTAAAAAAAAAGTGGTCAGAATAAGAGACGCCTTAATTTTCACCAATATTTTCATAAATATGTCACTGTGCTTCTTGCATAATTAGCTGTAGCTGTTGTTGTTGTTGTTGTTTGCTGAAATTAAGCCGCTCCTCTTTTACCACGAGAACATTTCCAGGAGCCACCTTAACGATAAAGTCCCCGTGTTTTCTTTTCTCATTCAGCTCAATTCAGCCGTCAAAAAACATTAATATCAACCCACAATAGAATGATTTAAAATATTTGCGTTTGGTTTGTCTCGGCTTACACACACAACCTGTCAAAAGTTGGGACACACCTTTTGATTTAATGTTTTGAAAGTGAAGTTTTATAGACATACAGACAGAAGTCCTCTGTTGCCTTTTATTGGTTTGTTTTATAGATTTTTTGATTGACTATTTATTTGTTTTTATTCAGTTGATTTTATTATGTTTTTATTGTATTGTGCAGCACTTTGGAAACAGTCTTTGTTTATAAAATGTGCTATAAAAATAAAGTAGAGTGGATTGAACATGAAATATATGAAGCAAGATATGTGGAATTACTCTACAAAAACTAAAATCATAAATTTAAAATGACTTAAATTAAGAATTTGTTATAATGATTTGAGTAAATTTCACATGAGAAGTAAAATGATCTTAGGCAGGCTTTACAACTTGTGTACTGTATTTTTCAGACTATAAGGCGCACTTAAAATCCATTAATTTTCTGAAAAATCGACAGTTTGCCTCATGTATTAATTCTGCTTGTGCTGACCGGAACCAGACCAGGACTGAAAATGGTTTAGTCCTGGTTTAGTCCTGGTTCAGTCCTGGGATCAGTCTTGGTGCAATCCTATGATCAGTCCTGGGTTCAGTCCTGGTTCAGTCCTGGTTTACTCCTGGTTCCTCAGTCCTGGTCCAGGTTCAGTCCTGGTTTAGTCCTGGTTTAGTCCTGGTTCAGTCCTGGTTCAGTCCTGGTTTAGTCCTGGTTTAGTCCTGGTCCAGTCCTGGTCCAGTCCTGGTTCAGTCCTGGTTCAGTCCTGGTTCAGTCCTGGTTTAGTCCTGGTTCAGTCCTGGTTTAGTCCTGGTTTAGTCCTGGTTCAGTCCTGGTTCAGTCCTGGTTTAGTCCTGGGATCAGTCCTGGGATCAGTCCTGGGATCAGTCCTGGGGTCAGTCCTGGGGTCAGTCCTGGGTTCAGTCCTGGTTCAGTCCTGGTTTAGTCCTGGTTCAGTCCTGGTTCAGTCCTGGTCCAGTCCTGGTTTAGTCCTGGTCCAGTCCTGGTTCAGTCCTGGTTCAGTCCTGGTTCAGTCCTGGTTTACTCCTGGTTCAGTCCTGGTTTAGTCCTGGTTTAGTCCTGGTTCAGTCCTGGTTCAGTCCTGGTTTAGTCCTGGGTTTAGTCCTGGTTCCTGGTTTAGTCCTGGTTTAGTCCTGGGATCAGTCCTGGGATCAGTCCTGGGTTCAGTCCTGGGATCAGTCCTGGGATCAGTCCTGGGTTCAGTCCTGGGATCAGTCCTGGGGTCAGTCCTGGGTTCAGTCCTGGGGTCAGTCCTGGGTTCAGTCCTGGTTTAGTCCTGGTTCAGTCCTGGTTTAGTCCTGGTTCAGTCCTGGTTCAGTCCTGGTTCAGTCCTGGTTTAGTCTGGTCCTGGTTCAGTCCTGGTTTAGTCCTGGTTCAGTCCTGGTTTAGTCCTGGTTTAGTCCTGGGATCAGTCCTGGGATCAGTCCTGGGGTCAGTCCTGGGGTCAGTCCTGAGTTCAGTCCTGGGTTCAGTCCGGGATCAGAGTTTAAGCTATTATCTGTTTTTTGTTTTTTTTTCCATTTTTCATTTAAACACAAAATCAAAAACTGAAAAAAACAAATCATTATCTGTTTTTGTCATTTTGGTTTTGGAGACAAATAATGAAGCAAATAGCTGTTTTTGTCATTTTCTTATTTTTGGTTTTATATTGAAAAACGAATGAATGAACGACACACTGCTTACACTTAAACATTTTTATTGACTTTATTGTACGACACATACAGTCTGATTGTATCCAGCTGCCATTACACAACAATATTATATAAATGTTTTTGTAATAGTCAAAGAATGCTGCTGTTAAACATCAAGGGTTTGTGAACGAAACTCAACTCAACTCCAGCCAAGAAAACGCTGCTTTATCTGTTATACGTGTGTAATCTAAGGAGTCAGGAGTCATTATTATTCATTCACTTTTGGGTTCGGTATAACATTACACGTCCATTGCGTAAGAGCAAACATCAATATAACAATAACAACGACAGAGCTGAACAATACTCTATGTTACAAACGAATCGGAATCGCAGTTTGAGTTGACACAAAGATCAAATCGCAAAGACTGCAGGTATTTTACTACAAGATTGTTCCCGATAAACAACAAAATATCCTGTAATTTTAACGAAAAAAATCGTATACGTGTAGTTTTACGTCATGGACCGGTTTTATGTCTGACAATATTTCGGAGGGCGTCCGGAGTCCTGGTTGTAGGCCTTGTTTTAGTCCTAGTTTTAGGCCTGGTTTAGATCTGGTTTAGACATGGTTTAGTCCTGGTTTTAGAACTGTTCTTAGACCTGGTTTAGTCCTGATTTAGTGCTGTTTAGACATGGTTTAGACATAGTTTAGTTCTGGTTTAGTCATGGTTTTAGTCATGGTTTTAGACCTGGTTTAGACATGGTTTAGTCCTGGTTTAGTCTTGGTTTTAGACCTCATTTAGTCCTGGTTTAGTCCTGGTTTTAGACATGGTTTAGACGTGGTTTAGACATGGTTTAGACGTGGTTTAGACATGGTTTAGACATGGTTTAGACCTGGTTTAGTCCTGGTTTTAGACCTGGTTTAGACATGGTTTAGTCCTGGTTTAGTCCTGGTTTAGTCCTGGTTTTAGACCTGGTTTTAGACCTGGTTTAGACATGGTTTAGACATGGTTTAGTCCTGGTTTTAGACCTGGTTTTAGACCTGGTTTAGACCTGGTTTAGACATGGTTTAGTCCTGGTTTAGTCCTGGTTTTAGACCTGGTTTTAGACCTCATTTAGTCCTGGTTTTAGACATGGTTTTAGACATGATTTATACGTGGTTTAGACATGGTTTAGACATGGTTTAGTCCTGGTTTTAGACCTGGTTTAGACATGGTTTAGTCCTGGTTTAGTCCTGATTTAGTCCTGGTTTTAGACCTGGTTTAGACATGGTTTAGACATGGTTTAGTCCTGGTTTAGTCCTGGTTTTAGACCTGGTTTTAGACCTCATTTAGTCCTGGTTTTAGACATGGTTTTAGACATGGTTTATACGTGGTTTAGACATGGTTTTAGACATGGTTTAGTCCTGTTTTTAGACCTCATTTAGTCCTGGTTTAGTCCTGATTTAGTCCTGGGTTTAGACCTGGTTTAGTCATTGTTTAGTCCTGGTTCAGTCCTGGTTTAGTTCTGGTTTAGTGACGTGGCCCGTGTGTCGTACAGAAGAAGGTGCGGTCCATGCAGTGTACGCGAGAAAACATGATCCAATGAGATTAATTTGATCTTCTGATATTTTATGTTATTAAGTTCAGTCGAAACTGTCAGGTATGAAAAACAACTCTTGGTCTATAAAAAGAACCTAATAACATGAGACATGATCCACGCGGTGCGGAAGGTGTATGGAGTTTAAAAACACAAACCTTTTTTACCACACGAACATCACAAATTGGAACAGAGTGTTTTCCATTTGAGAGAAGAACTCAGCCTAAATCTGCAGGGTTTGTGTGTTAAACATGTGAATGAAACAAAACACAACTCCAGGTCTGTTTGTGATGAGGAAACGTAAGAACATGGATCAGAAAAATCAAAAATATTGCCATTTTAAACCAGATTTTAAAAATTCTAAACACTGAGACACGCCTGGGTTGGGATGGTAAATAAAATTGTGTGCAGAAGATTGCGCCACCTACGGGCCAGGACCACCAGACTACAGACCAGTTATTACCTTGATGCCTTTAGACAGATCAATTCTGTCAGAAAGCTCGGACACTAATGCACCTTAAAAGACGGCAATGTCTTGGAACGCACTTTAGAAAATGGGTGGGGGCTGTTTTTGTCATACAATATTTTAAATTATTTATTCTTAGTATTATTTACGCTGCTGTTGACCTGGGCCTGAGTGTAGTATTTTGTTTTTGCGTATTTTTATGCTGAAATGACAAATAAATTCTGATTCTGACTTCAGGGTCGCTGCATTTTTTTTTTTTTTTTATAGTCATTTGCAAACATGGATTTCTGTATTTTGGGTAAACAAATGACAATTTATGCTTCTTCTTCCTGTTGGCAGGGATCAGATTAGTCAAAAAATTGTGATAGTCCTGTTTTAGTCCTGGTTTAGTCATAGTTTAGTCCTTTTTTAGATCAGATTGGTCAAAAATCTGGACATTTCTTGTATATAACTGGGACAAATCGCTGGTTTTGTATAAATCTGCTGGGACAGGGGACACAGAGCTCAAAAGTTGGACTGTCCCGGGTAAATAGGAACGTCTGGTCTCTCTATTTTAAACATAAAAGTGTGACATTAATCCTTTTTTTCCCTAAAGCATGCAGCCATAACCATGCGAGCTACTTAACACACAGTGGAAACAAGCGCTTAAAATCCAAAATCCAAACATGTTGAGTCATCTGAAATATTAATGACTGTGGTAAAGTGGAGCTATAATAGAGGCATTGTCTTACTCTCTCTGTGTCTGTGTGTGTGTGTGTGTGTGTGTATGTGTGTTCTGTTTGTTTAGATGAGAAACATCACTGAGACGCTAATGAAGCCCCTGGAGAAGTTCAGGAAAGAGCAGCTCGGAGCAGTCAGGGTAACGTATGACACTACATATCTCTGATCTGACTCACATATACACTAACTCTTGTTTAAAACTCAGATTATTTAGCTTTTATTACTTATTTTTCTATTTTATTTTGACTTGTACATTTACATTTGTATAATCATGCCTTATTTACACCTGTCTCTTGCTCTTTTTTGCTACTTAATTAGAATTTATTATTACCATTTGTATTTTTACTCGATTATATTGTGTTGTGTGAGCTACTGTGTCCAAATAATTTCCCTCGTGGATCAATAAAGTTTGTCTAAATAAATCTAAGTCGATTTAAAACCACACAGTAACAAAGTGTGGATTGCAAATTTTGTGCAGTGGGAATTATTATTTACTTAAAAAAAAAAAGCATTATTTACCAAACAGAACAGACATTTTGCAATATTTTACAATTACTTCAGCTTTTTATGTTGTGTAAGATTTAGTTTGTTTATTAGGCACTCTCTATCCACTCTTTAAGAATGTTTAAACGCTAATTGCAATAGTTAAAGCCACAGTATGTAACCTTTTTGCCGAAAGTATATAAAAGCATGTTTTCTTATGTGTTTATTGGACTGCCAAACTTTACAAGAATGCGTCCTTACAGTGAGCAGGCTTGTGTCTCTTCCTCCTTGTTCTCATGGAAATGTTTCTCTGCTTATAATCCTTCACTGTATGAAATAAACCGGATCTGTCTCTGTGAGGAATATTCCATAAAATAGTTTTACCGTATTTTTCGGACTATAAATCGCTCCAGAGTAGAAGTTGCACCAGCCAAAAAATGCATAAAACATATAAGTCGCACTTTTTGGGGGAACTGTATTTTATAAAATCATAGACCAGGAAGCAACATTTCATCTTGAAAGTCAAGTTCTAGTAAAAACAATAGAAGAGAGAACAACAGACTGTTAACGTCACATATGAACAGTTCTTCAGATAAACTATAACATAAACAACAGAACAGAACAAGTTTAACAAACTCTCCATCTCACTCCAAATCAATAAATCCATTCAATTCTTTTTTTATTTTTTTTTATTCAAGTTTGTATTATATTTTACCATTTTTACCACATAACATATAATATAACAGACAGCAGCACATTACTTTGGGCCGAAGGAGTAAAACAACAAATTTATCTGTACATATGCATATGCAAGTGCATTCCAGAGAAAAAATAAACGATAAGATAAAAATGTCAAAGTGCCTGTGACAAGCCTCCACACCTCTCTAATTTCCACTCAGTTTAACCTGTTACAAGTACAATTATTTTCAATTCTAAATTAAAAGGCCAAATCCATACCACATCCATAAAGGCCAAAAACAAAGATTTGTTTTCCTAATGTACCAGTTTCAAATGTGTTTTGGTAAATTGAGCAGTCAAACCTGTCACAGGCACTTCAATCAAAAACAGGTGTCCAAGATTTTACAAAAATGTCCATGTTATCGTTCAACTTAACCAATAATTTCTCATATGAGACTATTTTCATCAAATTGTCCATCCATCTATTAAAGTCTGGAGGAGAAGGATCCTTCCATACACCAAGAATGACCCATGCTGCAGTTATTACCCCCACCTTTAAAACCACATACTCACATTTTGTTACCCCTGGCATTACTGATTTATCCCCAAGTAAACATCATCTTGGTGACCTGGGTATAGTTTTACCAATCCACCTTTTTATACATTCTAGTACTCTCTCCCAAAAGGGATAAACTTCCCCACATTCCAAAAATCCATTCAATTCAAGTCACTTCAGAGCAACTCCACGACCTCCGGAGGTAAACAGAGCGCCGCTTCCTCTTCTGTGTCGCTGTCGTCAGACTCAGCATCAGTTCCAGTTAGAATTATTCGGGTCTTTCTGAATCCCGACAGGATGGTTTCACTGTCACTGAAGTCCAGGCTTTGTCCATCCATCCAGTGACTTCAGGAAAGTTTCATGGTGCATCCTCCTGGTGTCACAAGTTTCTCTCTCACTCCAAACTTTCTTTCTGCTGCTCGTTTACTGTTTTCAGCTGCAGATTTCACAACTTGCAGCTTGTAATCTGCAAAATATTATTTTCTTTATAGGGGTATTGGTGTTTAGTCTTCTCAGTCGTATTAATAAGTTTGTTTAAATTGGTGCAGAAGTAATGGTGCGATGGACTGACATGATACAGACAGGACAGAGGCTCTTTCTGCAGGAGACATGCGCAGTAGAGCCAAGTGACAGTGCTTTTGCTGCTTGAGTGTGAAAATTTTAATATATAAGTCACAGGAAACACCCAAACTATGAAAAACAGTGCGACTATAGTCTGAAAAATACGGTAACTTAATTTTTCCGTGGGCACATGCAGGTAACGTGTCACCTCTACAGAGTTACTGAACCTTTTAAACGTCCCAATTTCAAAATAGTAAAAGATTACACTAAACTTCAGACATTTTTAGACAAAGCCAAATTATCATAAATCATCCTCTTTTTCTATAATTACTTTTATTGGCAGTGTTAAAAGGGAAATATTATGCAAAGCTTTTAACCATATTATCATTGTTTTCCCCCTCATTTACCCACTCCAAGTTATATTTAGAGTGATTCATGCATGTTTAATCTTTCTTCTCCTGCATTTAAATTCCTGTTTTATCATATCCCCATACACGCCCACTACTTTACTGACTTACCAAACACTTCAGCTAAACGCAGAGCGAATACACCATCTGCACATTTTGAAATTGTTGTTTATTCGATCATTTTCCGTCTTTAAAATGCGTCTTGTTTATGTCTCCTTTTCGCAGGCAGGAAAAAAGAAGTACGAGAAAGAAACAGAGAAGTACTACAGCTCCTTGGAGAAACTTTTGAACATGTCAGCAAAGAAGAAAGAGCCCCAGCTACAAGAGGTAACACCCCCCCCACTTATATATGCACATAAACCGCTCAGCTTGACAACAAAACCACTAGAGACAAGCAAGTTCTGTTCCGTTTTGTTTTGAAACCAGCTTCAAGGAACTCAAAGCGCTTAACAACAAGGATCCACTCACCTATTCACACACACACAGCCAGGAATCACACCAGCCAACCTGTGGGTCAGTGGATTTGATTGATTAACCAGTGATGTTTATGTCGAGAGGGGGATTTGAACTGTCAACATTCGCATCAGTGGACAAACGCTCTTCTGCAATCAGTTTGTGCTGCTTTAGTTTTGGAGATTTTAGCAATTCTTTTATAGGCCAAATTGGGGTCAGTCAAGCCCCAGGAAGCTTCAAAATGCTCTAAAACGGTCCAAAATGGCGTCATTCGTTTGTGTTTCGTTTGTGCTGCTGAAAGTTTTCTTTGGCTGATTATGGTTCTTAAGATATTATCAGTTTTATTTTCGGCCAACAACATTGTCCAGCCCCTCAAAATGTTAAACAGCCTCAAAACAGGCAGAAAATTATACGAAACATTTGTATTTTATTTGTGCTGTTTTGTGGTGTGACAATTTTCATTTGTGCGAGTATATTTAAAGTATTAATTATCAGAATCCTACTTTTTAAAGGTCTGATATTACACAAAATGAGAAAATGGACTCTTGTGAGCTTTAAGTCATGTTATAATGCTGCTACCTCCTCAAAAATCAACCTGGACAACCTAAACCATCCTGTCAGGATTCAGAAAGGCTGAAATAATTTTAACCCAGAATTTACACCAGGAGTGTCAGCAACAGGAGCCAGGAGCGTCAGTATACACTACATACTTTTAAAACTTTCAGTTTACACCAGAGGCAGCAGAGCTGCTCCTGTGATGCCAGCCTCTGTGTCTTGTCATATTTAAACACCAAACTTTTTACATTTTTTATGTATTAATTGTTAATTGGATAAATTATGTTTTAAATCACATTACAAAGATTGACAACAAGAGAGACGATGTTTTGCAGAGATAAGGAGCCGAATCTGTGATGCCATCCCATTAATTAAAGGCCCATCTCATGCAAAATAACTCTTTTCACATTGTATCTTCTGCACATAAACAAGCACAATTTGGGTTTTGGAACATCCATTACACAATAGTTATGAATTTCTTATGTATTTCTTGGAGTCAGTCACAGACCAGGAACTATGAATGAATGACTATTGCTCCTCCCCCCGCCCGTCCTGAGAAAGCACAGGCTCCGCCCTCCAAACGTGACGTAGGCTCTGAGTGAGCCGCCCTTCCTCCGCCATCTCAGGGAGGGAGGGGGAGACAGACGTGCACCCTGATAGTGGCAGGAATAAACTTTTATTCATCATGGAGATACAGCGCGTTCAGCCGCATGTGTTGGACCCGGAATCGGACGAGGAGTTTGAGGAGCACGAAGCTCAAGCCCCGCGTCGGCAAAAGCTGAATATTACTGATTGATAAAGTATTAATAAACGCTAGTTGTAGGAGCCATTTTTCTTTCGATTAGGCTGGGGTTAATTTGAGTCACTGTTTGTACTGTGTGCACAGGGTGACCTATATTTGGCTTGGCCACAAGGGGGCAGGGTGGAGTCAAGCCCTATATAAATGCACAGGTGCCAGTGTACTGGGTGTATGGGTGACAGGAGGTCACACATTTTTTACCGCTCTCCTTCTGGCCGGTGGTCTAGCTTTCACTACTCAACTCTGTAATATTATTGAGCATCTATTCATCCATCCTATTCCTTTCTGCTCTACAATCTAATGTGTCAGTCTCTCTCCAATTTATGTCTCTCTTTTTAAATTTTAATCTTCATGATTATTTATGTTTTGATTTGTTTTTATTATGATTTTAATGTATTTCTTATTCTGTAAAGCACTTTGAATTACTTTGTGTAGGAATTGTGCTGTACAAATAAACTTACCTTGCCTTGCCTTGCCTAGAGCGTTAGGCCTGGATCCCCTGCACCCAGAAACGACAAACGGTTAGGACTAAAATTGTCACTACACTAGGAGATGAACTTATTATATCGTGTACACTGCAGTGAGGAACAATAGTTTATGCTGTCGCTTTTGTTTAGGTGTTCATGTGGGAATTGTCAAGACGATGCGGGATGGAGGCGGTGGATAGATCCATGGGGCGGGTGCAAAGCGCTTTCTGCTACGTCAAACGCATCATACGTGTATCTGCTGCGTCATCGTTGTAGCAGCTTTAGTTCGTTGTCACGTGGGAGGGCGGCAGAAATACGCTGCAGTTTGTTAAAAAAAAACGCTGAATCAATCTAATAACCACTTTGGTGACATATACAAGGCCCACACATCAGTCTTAGAAGGTAGAAAGCTCTGAAAAGTTGATTTTGCATGAGATGGGCCCTTTAAGATACTCACCATTTCACTTTGTTCTTATGCTGTAGTTATCTGGATAACTCTTCTATTTTACATTAACAGCCTGTTGTTCTTTATTCTGTTGTTATTACTATATCTTGCCTTTCTAGATGAAATGTCAGTTCCTGGTCTCTGATTTTAAAACATAAATTTCTCCCAAAAAGTGCAAGTTATATTCCGAAAATACTGTATATGACGTGTCCAAAGAGCGATACTAAAAAGTGTCAGAAAAGCAGCACGTCTAAATATCGGGATGTAGTGAAGCGATGTTGGAAAAGGTTGTTGACCCCCTCGTGGATCGTCTTGTCCCACCTCTGGATACTGGCACACTGTGTAGCTGCTGAAAGTGTTTTTGTATATTGTTGTATGACGATGACAAACCCTCCGCGATCCAGCCTGTTTTCCATTTACGTTGGACGCACGCTGCACTTTTCCTGGCTTGTTTGGAGAGGAAATCTGTACTCACTCGCTCCACTGTACCAAGGTCAACACCGGTGGCTCGCTCGCTGTGGAACATCCCGTGCTGCTGTAATATAAATGATCTCTGTCTTAAATCACAGAGGAATAAAACAACCCCTCATTGTCTCTGGCCGGGGCTGGATTCCTGTTTTATTTCCGTGTAAGGTTAGCTCGCGCACATGTTGCGAGCAGCGGCGCACACTCCACATTGTTGACATAGTTGCCACGGGGCTGTTCTGCTCTGTGTGGTACAGCAGCGATTACCGGGCTTGGATAAATACACGGATTCTTCTATAGCCCAAAACGTTATGGACCGCAATACGTCAGCTGTTTTATTGTGGTTTAGAACATGATGTCATTTTTTTATGCTCGTTTTTTTGTGGTTCTGTGTAAAAGTAGGTCTGTTACGGTGACACTTTTTCAACTATATTTCTGAAGTTTACGTAATAATATTGAAACCAAACCATAAAACGGAAAACTGTTCTAAATGTTCGCAGTTTTACGCAGTGCACCTTAAACCTTCAAGTGCAAATAGTGTCATGATACAGAAAAACAACCAAAAATGTGGCTCCCTAAAATTATTGTTCCATCTTAACATTGAATGATAAGATGATATAGTACAGGCCTATGTAAAAGTAAAGCTTAGCCTCTGTGTAATATGGATTTGAGGTCTTCAGCATGCCGCAAATCTGGCCTCGACGCGGCTGTCTTGAGCGTTCAGGCGTCAATGCTCTCGGACGCGCCACGTCAACCAATCAGGGACGACTATCCTGTGACATAGAAACGTTATTATCCGGAAGGACAAGAAAGAGAAAGAAGAATCGGGGCCTGGAGCCGCAGACAGGACTGAACCAGGACTGAACCAGGACTGCACCAGGACTAAACCAGGACTGAACCAGGACTGCACCAGGACTGCACCAGGACTGAACCAGGACTGCAGCAGGACTAAACCAGGACTACACCAGGACTGCACCAGGACTACACCAGGACTGAACCAGGACTGAACCAGGACTGAACCAGGACTGAACCAGGACTAAACCAGGACTACAGCAGGACTACAGCAGGACTACAGCAGGACTACAGCAGGACTACAGCCAGGACTGAACCAGGACTGCAGGACTGCAGCAGGACTACAGCAGGACTACAGCAGGACTACAGCAGGACTGAACCAGGACTGCAGCAGGACTACACTAGGACTGCACCAGGACTACACCAGGACTACACCAGGACTACACCAGGACTACACCAGGACTAAACCAGGACTAAACCAGGACTGCACCAGGACTGCACCAGGACTACACCAGGACTACACCAGGACTACACCAGGACTACACCAGGACTAAATCAGGACTGCACCAGGACTACACCAGGACTGCAGCAGGACAAAATCAGAACTACACCAGGACTGAACCAGGACTGAACCAGGACTGAACCAGGACTGAACCAGTTTCATTATCGTGTCATCATCGGAGTATAAATATATACACTCCGCAGCCGCTGAGCCGATCACGACCAAGATGCACGTCGGGGGCGTCCAAACTCGGATGCAAAGGCGTCCAGCTAGAGGCGTCCAGGATTTGTCAGCGTCACATTTTGGTTAAAAAAACATAATAATCTGCCGTTCATTAGTGTGATCTACATGTACAGCTGCACACCTCTTTGCTGTGATCATATATATATTTTTTGGTCTTTTAACATTCACAGCTTCAGTTCTTTTTAAAAGACAAACAACAATAAATGTTTACTGGTCACATTCGCATCAAATGCTGTAAAATAATCAGTTTGAAAGGTTCACTATGTAACTTTTTAGTTGACGGTTTTTGCCATCTCCTTTTATTACTGTATTACGTATATTACAAACATCCAATCCAACTTTATTTGTATAGCACATTTTATAAACAAAACAGTTTCCAAAGTGCTTCACAGAGCAATGCAAACATTTTACTTTAAAAAAAAAATCTGCAGAATTATGTTTCAACCATAAGGAAACTAATAGAATAAATACATAAAATAATAATAATTATAAAATCAATGAGCAAAAATAATAAAATCAATACATAAAAGCAGTACTAAAAAAATAAAATAGATAAAAACAATAAATAGATAAATAAATAAAATAAATACACAGAGGACCACACAACTCACGCAGTGTTAAAAGCCAGATGGTAAAAATGTTTTGGGGACCACGAGCTGGAGCTGGACCTCGGGGTGTAAATGTGGATGAGGTCTGAGATGTCCTGTGTGGCCAGTCCATTCAAAGCTTTAAAAACAAATAATAAAATCTTAAAATCAATTCTAAAGTTAATAGGAAGCCAGAGCAACGACGCAAGAATTGGGGTAACGTGATCGTGCTTTTTTGCTCCCTGTTAAAAGTTCTGGAGTAACTGCAAGAGATGAAGATGAAGTAGAAACGTAAGATTAAAAACTGAAAAAAATGACAACACATTTCTAATTTTGTGTGTGTTTTCATTAGGCTGACGGCCAGGTGGAGCAGATGAGAGGACATTTTCAAGAGGAATCGCTGGACTACATTTGTAAACTACAGGAAATCCAGGAGAGAAAAAAGTTTGAATGTGTAGAACCGGTAAGACAATGTCCACAAACCAATAACTAATGTGGAAGCCAATGTTTTATAGCTTTTGGTTTCACGTTTCATTTCTGTGGCCGTGATAAACATTCTTATCTCGGTGTTTTCTTGTTTTGCAGATGCTGGCCTTCTTTCAAACGGTCTTCACGTTTTATCACCAGGGCTTCGAGCTCGCTAAGGACTTTGACCATTATAAACGGGAACTGCAAATAAATATTCAAAATGTAAGAAAACGCAAAAATAATTCGTTTTATTTTGCGGTTTTATTTAATGACCTTAAAAGCGCATCGTGGAGTTTCTGGTGGAGGCGCCGTCAAATACTTTTCTCTGTGGAGATGTTATCGATTTGTCTGGAATGTTTCACAGTATGGGGTTAAATAAATTAAAATTATGTCTTCATGGAGACCAAACCAAGTTACAGGTCAGATCTGTGGAGAGGCGACCCCGCTCACAGTCAGATTTTTTAGCTTTAAAACCACCTGTAATTTAAGAAGTGTAATGTAGAGCTTTTTAATGTCTTACTGTGCAACATTTCAGGCAGAACAATTCACAGAGAAAAGCGTTTGATGGAACCTCCACCAGAAAAGTTACGTAGTGCTTGAAGAAAGACTTGAAATTCTTAATGAGCAAATACTTTAGTGTCTATTTATCTTTATTTAAGCAGACTTATTATGCAAAATTGAGCTAGTTGAGGTGCCTCCTGGACTCTCTGTGGGGTTTTTCATGAGGTCTCAGGGCACACTGGAGGGACTGGGTCTCTGAGCTGGTCTGGGAACACCTTGGGGTCCCCCTGGAAGAGCTGGAGGAAGTGTGTCTGTGTGTGTTTGTGGAGAGGGAAGTTTGGGCCTCCTGCTCAAACCGCTGTCTCTGCAACCCAGATAAACAATAGAAAATGGATAGATGGACTTTTTAGAGTTTTTAACCATGTTACAGTTGTTTACTAGCCAGATTCATCAGCCAGTTTCACTTCGTAGAAACCGTCTGACCTCGCAGTGTTAGAATTCGTTCGCTCGACAGTAGGTGGGTATTTTTTATCATTTAACCAATCGCTGCTATTTGGCCGTGACATATGTAATTCACCGCTTACGGGGCTAAATGGTATATTAAGCTTTTCCCAGATCCCGCAGGAAGAAGGGAAATAACGTCTTTCCTCTTGATAAAATTCACCAAACATTCTCTTTGTTCTGGCTTTAATTTCTCGATCTCGGAAATCGTTGACAACACAGAATGTATGGCTCTTCGCAGATTGGCAGGTGCCTGAACTCCCTCTTCTGGGGTTTTTGCAAAACGTCTAGTGTATCATATTTTCCGGGCTATTAGTCGCTCTGGATTATAAGACGCACTGTCATTAAATGGTCTGTTTTCGAACTTTTTTCACAAATAAACCGCACCGGACTTTAAAGGAAACACAACAGTGTGATGGGTGAGTGGTTTTGTTTGTTTGTTCGTTCACGGTGACTCTGGGCTTTGTTCAGTTGTGGCGTGTAGGGAGGGTGCTGTCTGGGACCAACGGATTGTCGGCGTGTTCGCAGTGACTCAGTTGTTCAGTTGTGTCTAGAAGTGGCACATTGCACTCGCTTTTTCGGTTCGTTCCTCCGTTCCGTTCCTCATGGAGTAATGAGTGGAGTAATGAGTGTGTCTGTGGGTGTTTTTCGCTGTGCGGTCACTGTCTGCTCCCGAGTGGATTCGTGTATAGGGCGCTCTGGTCGTTTTTTGACGTGCTTGGAGACTTAGGGCGCGCTCATATGGTGCGGAAAATACGGTACATACTGAAGACTTCGAATATGGTGCAAGATCTACGGAAAAAAACTGAAATACCGACTTCACTGATAAATCCACAACGTAAATAATGATAGAAATAAACAAACGTAAATGCAAAAAGTGTGTGCAAACTTTTGACTGTTGGTGTATGTCTCAATAATCATTTCTTGTGACTAATCCCGTGTTCTCTCCTCAGACGAGAAGTCGCTTTGAGGGCACCAGGTCAGAGGTGTACGAACTGATGAAGAGGATCAGGGAGACCCCACAGGAGTACAGACAGACCAGCGCCATCAGCTGCGAAGGCTACCTCTACGTGCAGGAGAAACGTAAGATACTCTCAGACAAAGCAGTGGTCCAAAAAAGGGAAAAAGTATAAAAGTACTGTCTGGAAATAACATTGCATTATGGAACTTGTGCATTTCTCCGTGGAGATGTTATTGCTTTGTCTGAAATTTTTCACAGTATGATAGTAAACCTTTCTATCTCCATCGAGACTAACGCCCAGTTCCGATAAGACCGCTCCAATTTGAGCTGAATACAGCGATCCCCCCAAATATTAATGAACTCTCTAACCTCGCTTTCCCTCCATTGACGAGACTCCGAGCCTGATGTGTAGGTCAGGGGTGTCCAAACTTTTTTCATTAAGGGCCACATATCTAAACACAGACGAAGCCGATCGAGGGCCGAAGACTGATGCTCAGTACAGGGAATAACTGAAATATGTGCATGTTTAACATGTTAGAATGAGCCATCAGTCTTTATTCACACTAAGATCCTTAAAACCACACACTAAATATTAAATAGTAGCGTTATCAAGGTAGATTTTCAAAAAACTTGCAGTAAAAAAATATTTTTTAATTGATGCAAGATAATTTGGGCCAATTCACCTGGAAGTTTGAGGGCCAAAAAAAATTTGTCTGAGGGCCGCATTTGGCCCCCGGGCCATAGTTTGGACATGTCTGGTGTAGGTGGAATGAATGTGACCTGGCCGTTCAGACTGAAGTCGCATGTCAAAAGATCGGACATGTATCTGTTTTAGGAGCACATATCCAAGTGGCCCGGGTCAAATTTGAAAAAAATCTGATTTGTTTCGTTCAAACTGAAATTAAAAGATCAGATACAAAAAAAAAATAAATATTTAAATCAGATTTGGGTCAAGAGTTAGAGCTACATTGTTCAACTTTTCTGGTGTTCGGTCGTTCAAATTCTTCCTGGAGATCTTAATGCGATACCTGGAATGTTTCACAGTATGGCATTAAACCTTTCTATCTCCACGGAGACCAAACTAGACCAAGTTAGAGGTCAGATCTGTGGAGAGGCGTTGTTTTTCTAGGTATTTTTGAGCTTTAAAACCACCTTTAATTGAATAAAGTTAAGGTAGAGCCGTTTAATGTCACACTGTGGGACATTTCAGGCAGAGAAAACGCCGGGTCCCCTTTAAACGCAGGGTGCAAGTGTGTATTTTGACAAATAATCGCCGGTACCAAATAAACGCGGAGTCTAATGTATTAAAAAAGAAAAACACATTATTAAAGATTTGCGTATTTTCAAAACAAAATGAACAGTATTGTCATAATTTGATCTATAGCTCAATAATAATATCACAGACCCAGAGATACAGTATATTTGTATGCATACACACATGTAAACATATTCTGAATTATTTTACAATAGAAAAATTTGATAAATACTCTGCAGCCATCTATTACTCAAAGGTTTGCCTTATGTGTCTAACAGAGGGCCAAAACATGATTGTACAGCAAATATCTTGTAATAAAATGTCTAAATTTGAAAAAAATAAAAATAAAAATCAAGGAAGAAGACGTGACCACTGACGCTGCATGTTTTTTTTTTTCTTCGCCTGTTTTGTTTTGCTTTGTTTTTACGAAATTGGTTGTGTGACTCGGAGTAGATTGGCTATATTCTCTTCTCACTGGAAAAGTGGAGGAACAGATAATGTTGCTGTGAGATCTCTATTTCGAAGTGACGTTAAAAAGTAAGATGGCGCAACATAGCGGGCAGGAAATGGAAGCAGTTTTTAGGAGTTTTGGTGATATTACTTCAGTTTGGAGGAAGCAGCAATGTCATCGTAGCTGCTGTGGCGTAAGAGGAAAGTTGTGGCAAAGGGCGAGAAAAGGGCAGAGGACGAAGCAGAAGGAATTTTGCGGTCAAGGTAAAGGCAAAGTACTCGTCCGGCCATCGTATAACAGCGATGCCTCCTCCAAGACGTGCCGTAAAAACTGTAAATTATAGGCTACGTTTATATGACGAGGGTCTGAAGAGAAAACGCAAAAGTGGCGTCGCGTCTTCACTTTTTATTCTGCGTTTAGTCAAGCGTTTTCGGAAGGAAATCTGCGTGCATACGGTGACGCAAAAGTGTGTGGAATTCGATTGGGTATGCATGCCAGGCGGCTCGGTGGTGACTCAAGGTGGTGATGTTTGTGACGTAAACTCATACGCGACGTGAGCAGATCTGACCAGAGTTTTGCGTCTTGGGCAGTGTAGACGAAACTGATTGTTTACTCATTGCTGCCGGCGCCAAAAACCAAAGCATTGTTTGTGCACACTCCAAATTAGACGTTCATTCATGTTACTTTATTTCACGTTGGGTTTTTTTTGTTTTTTTTTTACCCTCCTTCCATTTAACATTGAACTTCAGCCCGATTGTGTAAACGAAAAAATAGGCTAATGAAATTTAAGACCTTTGTGAAAATAGTAAGACTTGGACAATATAATTTAAGACTTTTTAAGGCCTTAATTTAGGAACATGAAATTTAAGACCTTTTTAAGACTTACATACGCGCATACGGTGACGCAAAAGTGTGTGGAATTCGATTGGGTATGCATACCATCCGACATGTTTGTTTCCGTGTACTGTATGTATGTCACGTAAATGCGTACACGACGTGAGCAGATATGACCAGAGTTTTGCGTCTTGGGCAGCGTAGACGGAAACGCTACGGCGGCGCGTATTCAACTTTTCACAACACTCTGGAGGGTGGTTTCAGATTCTTGCGTTTTTAAGCCCCAAAAGTGCCGTCACCGTCTAAACGAAAGGCACTTCCGATAAAATATTTTGTCATTTTTACCCGCAAACGTCGTATAAAGAGGCCCTGGTTAAAAGAATTTGAGTACCATATTTTTCCAGATTTTTGTGAGGAAGGAATTAATCGCCTGCCCCATTTTACCACCTGGTCTCAAATAAAAGCCTGGTCTGTCAAGTGATTGAAACAAATAAACGCTCTGGCTATTATTTAGTATTTTTCAGTATGCATAGAAACAAGCAGGTGATGGACCCCCAGCCAAAAAGTTACACAGGGCACCTTTAAGTAAATGAGTTAAAAGAGGAAGAGTGGAGCCGTTAGACGTGTGTGTGTGCTGTGATTGCAGAGTTCAGGTCGTTCTGCTGAGCCATCATGTGGACGCTGACTCCAAACATGCGTTGCTAGTTAGTCAGCAAACTGTCTGATAATAAACTCCCCAACACTAACCTGGCAATCAGACCTTTTAGTTTGACTGTGTCTCGGTACTCAGCAAAACATATGATTCCCGGAGTTGCCTGTGTGTATTGAATTAAGATTAATGGTCCTTTATCACGCAAAATTGACTTCCTGTATGAAATCAGCTGTTTTCAAGGAATCTCCCCTATCTCAGATTTGTCTGCAAAAATTTCTAAAAAAGGATTAATGACACGATGAATAATCTCCAAATGTCTTCCCTTATAACAAGCAGTTAGTGTTTAAGTCTATTAAAGGTAATTTAAACTTGCTCACAGGTGGAAAAGTCCCTACGCTTCACCAAAAATGACCCGTGAGAGCTCATTTTCAACAATTCCGTTTGAAATGAAGGAAGTTAATAGTAGATGTTTTTATTACTTTAAACTAATCAGAATATGCCAAAGTTTCTCTGGTAAAAAATTTATCAGCATCTCCCGGTGCCCACATGGGGAACTGAGGGTCCAAAGAAGGGGCCAAAAAAGATCACATTTATTCTGTGACCATATTTGGGACTCTACACCGTCCACATGAAAGCTCCGAAAAGTGTGAAATTGTTGTCAGAAATGTTCATTCTCTCAAATATTCAGGTTCAGCTGTTAGTTTGTAATTATCTGCTTGGAGTAAATAGATTTTGGACCTCAAAAATTGAAAAAAAAATTGAGCGGCAACCAAAATGTGAGATTTTGGGGGCCCACAGCACCGCCCTCAATCAAGATACCCAATATTTGACAACAGATTCAGAATCTATGACCAAGAATCTACAATAATACAAATTTTCAGCTTCCTAGTTCTATTCTATTTGTTATGACGTTCTCTCTCAAACATGCTTATATAAGGTTTCCGAAAAAGTGAGAATGACCCCAAAATTTCAATGGGACATAACTCAGGAACGACTCAAGGGATTGAGCTAAAATTTGAGATTCTTTCATTTGGTGATTTTAGAAATTTTTAGAATTTTTTTCAGCCAAATCTGAGACTGCTCATGGGGGAGGGCGGCTGATTTCATACGGACTGACCCTCTTGTGAGCTTTTAGACATGTTATAATGTTGTTACCTCCTCAAAAACAGACCTGGAGTTGTGTTTTGTTGCATGCAGACATGTTTTTTGTAACTCTTTATTATTAGTCTGTCTACATCTCCAAAGCTCAACGCGCTCTGTTCCACTTTATGATGTCGTGCAGTGGTAGTTTTCAGGTTAACAGCTCGTTTTAGCTTTTGTTTAGTAGAGATTGGCAAGCACTTACTCTATTACAACATTACATTACAAGGGGGAACTCAGCCTAAATATTCAAAGTTGATGTGTTAAACATGTGTGAATGAAACAAAACACAACTCCAAGTGTGTTTTTAACGAGGAAACAACATTATAACAGATAAGAAAATATCGTAATATGGACCATTTAAATTATCATTGCTTGGCTCAAAAACGGCTAAAATGAAAATGAAATGAAACTCAAATAGTGACAGTTTGGGGCCAAAGTTTAAATAGTTTGTAACATCCTGGTTTTGCAATAGAATACTAAACCACATATTCTAAAATCAAATCAAATAGGGAAATGCAACTGCTGAAAAAAACATTAAAGTGGAACTAAACTCAAAATCAACTTTTTTTTTTGGTACTAAGCAGTTTTTTGTTTTTTTTTTACTGTTCCTTGTCCTTTTTGGGAAATTTCAGAGCAAACTAGGTCTAGCATTCTTGTCAAAAACGTCTACATTTAATAAGTTTGTGCTGCCTTCGGTGTCCTCTGCAGTTTCAAGTAGTTGGTGACATCGCAGAGGACTGCTCTAAGATTACAGACAAGTGTTTCTGATACAAACATTTGGCTGCAGAAGCGGAGTTTGAAGTGTGGATTTCTGTTAGGAGACCCAGACCTCTCGCCCCTCTTCTCTCTTCACTCTTGTCTTTTGTAGAGTGACCAGACGTCCCTATTTACCCGGGACAGTCCCAGTTTTGAGCCCTGTGTCCCCTGTCCCAGCAGATTTATCCAAAACCAGTGATTTGTCCCAGTTTTATACAAGAACTGTCCCTATTTTTGACCAATCTGATCCCTGACAACAGTAAAGAGAGGCATATATTGTCATTTGTTTAGGTAAAATACAGAAAAGCTGCTTAAAAATGAACAAATACAAAGAAAATGTGACTATACTGACTCACATTAATGCCGAGTACGTAAAAATGTTCCTTAACTACACGCTGGTTTCACAATTTTATTATTACCAACCACCACAAACCAGGATGTCCCAGTTTTTTGTTTAGAAAATCTGGTCACTCTTCCCTTTAGTCGTCCAGTTACTGCCCAGTTTAGCAGCTTTATTTGAAAAGTGGCGCTGGACGTTGGCGTTGGGTTTAGGTGTTTAGTCTCACTTCAACTGTAATATAAAATAATATGTTCTGTTTTTTTCATTACCTTTTCCTAAGTTGGAATATCAACCGTGGATTTATGACATGTTTTGACTTTGTTTTGGTATTTTGAGTCCAAATCTTCGTAGTAAGTCTAAATACTTATGATGTTTTGCGTATGAAACTATGTCATGGATTTCAGGCAAGGATTTGAAGAATTTTGGCCTTTCTTCATTCAGAAAGACACGATATTTTGTTTATTGCTATAACAACAGAGGACCAAACCAAAACCTTCAAATCAGGAATGATGCGGCGTTCGTTTATCCGTCCGTCTCCCACTCGGATCTCGGATATAACGTCACGTCCACACTTCGACCGTGGATGTGACTCGGAGAAAAACGTGGACGCTAAACGGAAAGATGTTTTTGCTTTAGCATTGACTGAGTACCAGGCTCCAAAATATGTCTGTGCTTCAACGACACAACCTCCAGGAAGTATCCAGTATAAATAGTATAATTCAGTACATTAGTGAAGTGAAAGCGTTGGTGTTGCGTGATAATAGATCATTTTTGGCACGTTAGCAGGAAATGGGCTAAAAACATTGGTGACGCCAACTACCAAAAACACAGGCAGTGATACAGACACAGTAAAGTGCTGCTTTGATACGAGTGACTGAAATTGTCATTTATACCAGGGGGTTCCCAACCTCCGGGTCGTGGGTTGTTTGGTACCGGGCCACCAAAGTGAGAACCCCCCTCCCATACGCCGCTTCATTTTCCATGACTTTACAGCACCTACATGTGTAGAATTAATCAGACTTTTAGGGTTAAATATGAAATGTTAACTCTTTCCACACATCTTATGGTTTGGGATTATAGTTTTTTAACATTCAAAATCCTGTCAGTGCATTTATTTGTCTCTTTTAAACAAAATGCACAACCGTTCAAAAATAAGTTTGGCTATTATGATTAACAGAACGCTGTAGGTGCGTGAAAGAGATACTAAAATTCCATGACTTTCCCAAAACTTTCATTGAATTTACAAATTTTCATGACTTTTCCAGACCTAGAAAATAACATTTTCAGTTTCCATGACATTTCCAGGATTTCCATGACCGTGGGAACCCTGTTTTTTCTAAGCCTTTATAGTAATTAATGTCGTATTTTCAACCCATATAAATTAAAGTTTTATTGTGTAACTTTTATATGGAGCGTCTGACAAATGCTGTTCTGCATGGAGATGTTATTGCTTTGCTTGGAATGTTCCACACTATGGCATTAAAACTTTCTATCTTCATGGAGACCAAACCAGACCAAAGTTACAGGTCAGATCTGTGGAGAGGCGACCCCGCTCACAGGCAGAATGTTTGTTTTTCTAGGTATTTTTGAGCTTTAAAACCACTGTAATTGAATAAATGTAAAGTAGAGCTGTTGATCGTCATACTGTGGAACATTCCAGGCAATGACGCGCAGCTGACGTACGGCCAACCAAAAAGTTACACAATGCACCTTTAACTCTTGTATGTTTTTTAGGACCGCCTCCGTTCGGGTCGAGCTGGGTCAAACGCTACTGCACGTTTGTCAAAGAGCAGAAGATCCTACACATGGTGACGTTCGACCACAGATCCGGAGGGAAGATCGTAAGTCCACAATCCATATAAAATCCATTTTTATAATCCGCGTTTTCAGACGGATTTTTGAAATGACCCTTCTACCTTTTAGGGCGAGACTGAATCCATCACCCTGAAATCCTGCATACGCAAAACCACAGATGTGCTGGACAGGAGGTTCTGTCTAGAGCTGGACATTACAGACAGGTAAAGAATTATACTGGGGGGAAAAGAAACGTCATGTTGTGTGTTTTTGAGGGGAATTTTACACCTTTTTCTGAATACAATTATTTTATTTGGAAAGATTTTATTTTTAAGGCTTCAACAATGTCAAATTTATGTTTAGAATATTTTCAAAACACAATTCACAATCAGCAAGAAAAAAAAAGAATTGCAGCAAATGATTAAATTATTTGAGCATATTACATTACATTATTGTCATTATTTAAGATAAGATAAGATAAAATATGCCTTTATTAGTCCCACAGTGGGGAAATTTCCAGCAGGAAAATGGTAACATGCAATTAAACAGATAATAGATAATGGCTTAAAAATCATTAAAAAATATACTTAAAAATAGACTCTAATGTGTGCAGCATTTACAGAAATATGACTATGTTTATGTTTATTTCTTATTTCTCTTATTTTAATATGGTTTGAGCCATTTATTGAGTTGCTTATAACCTTTTCGCGTTTGGTTTGTGTTTCTATTAATATTATTATTTTTTATTATTATTTTTACTATTTTTTTCCTTATGGATCTGTATTAAGTGATGTGGGTGGTGTTTCTCACTAATAAATTAATAAAAAGAAGAAAACAAACAAAAGACTAGCAGAAAAGTATGCAAGGATCAGTACTGTTTTTTGAGATGGGCCATATATCGGTTCCAGTATCGGTACTGGCCAATATCGATATGATTTGTCTCTATTGGTATTGGCCGATATTACCATTTGATAAACCATAGCCTATCTACAGTTCAGTAAGGCCCCGTCCACACTAGTATGTATTTGAGTCGTTTTCGTTGTGGATACAGTGTTCGTTCCACTAATCTGATGGAAAACTGCTCCAGAGATGGAACGGTCTGGTGCCTCCAGCTCCCACAAATTAATTTCAGTACAGATCTGATCCGGCACTGTGTGGACACCTGAAAACACTGATACACTGATGTAGGTCTATGCACCGCCAAAATGCTAAGAGGCTAGAATACATGTCTATTCATATAAACGGTCTGTGTGTACGACCTGCAGACGTATAATCTCTGAAAACTTTAACATGAACCGTCTCCAACACGACAGAAACACAGAACAGACTCACCATCAGCAGAACACCCCTCTGTCACAGAAAGAACACTCATATTCCACTGAGTCGTGACCTTTAGTCCAACAGAAGCTGAACCGCATCAGAGCACAAAGAGCGAAGTGTTTTTTTGAGCGTTTAGTTTATGCAAATGAGCCATGTGGTTTTAAGTTTAGTTTCTCCAAAACATAAACAAATATGCTCAAAGTTGTGTGGATAGGGAAGGATTGCGGACACAGAAACGACGTATCTGGATGCAGATTGTTTCCGATTTGGTGATTCGGTGATTCGTTTCAGTGTAAACGTAGCCATAGTCACTCCAAAATATCTGCGTAAATATTGTACCATGGGATTTGGATATCGTTGGATATTTGTTTTTTTACTGGGTGCTATAATCTTTATTTATAAAGCACTTTTAAAAACAAGATTTAGTGCCCTACAAGCAGCAAAGAACAATACAAAATAGCATAAAAATAGCATAAAGAAAGCATACAGAAACAGACAATGATGCAAACAATCCAAGTAATTATAATAAATAAATAAAAATAAATAGAATAAAAATAAATGAAGAGTCAAGCTAAAACCAGTTAAAGGAAGACCAAACGATAAAAATGTGTCTTAAGAAGTGATTTCAAGGTGTGCAAAAATATTGATATATCGTATTGTTTATTGTGATGATACAGTATCGATATCTTGGGCTGCTGTATCGGTATAGAGTATTTTTTGGTATATTTTGCTAAATTATTTTGTTACAGAACGACTGTTTTGTTGTTTGTTTAGAGGAAGGAAACTCGTTTTTGCGACACATTTGATATTTTCACTGTTCTTGATGATTAAAATATGTCTTTTTCATAAGAACTTTGAACAAGAAGTGGTTTAACAAAGACTTTTAGTATCGCAGACATGATTAAGCCTTTATTTTTTTATCGAATCGTTTTGAAATATGTCGTATTGAGTCGAAAGTGCATCTATTGTATCGGCAACTTCTGAATGATACCCAGCCCTAGTGCAAAGCCTTATTTCCTCAGGCAGGTCGTTCCAAAACCGAGGAGCCCGGAGTGAAAAGGTTCGATCACCTTTCGTCCGGAGTCTGGACTTTAGGACAACCACAAGGACCTGCCTGAGGATCCAAACCTGCGGGAGGAGGGCTCGTACGGGGTTAAAAGTTCTTCTAGTACAGTTTTGCGGAACATTCCAAACATCTCTGATCGATCGCCTCACGAACGCTTAGTCAAACTCAGGCATGACTTTGTTTGTCACATGAACATTTGACATTTCGGTGACACAGTTTCTCAGGACAATGGAGTCTGGCCCAAACAGAATGCCACGGCTCTATTTGTTGTAGCAGCAGAGGTGCCCTTAGCCTCCTCACCGTGCGTCTGTTTACCCTTCTGTTTGGACTTTTGCATTCAGACTCAATCTCAAGACACTTCACGCACTATGCCTGGTATGAACGTGTTTTTAAAATCAAATACACAGATTCCAAGCCAGGGATGTCAAAATTATACAAACAATATACAAAAATCAATTACACAAGAGGAAAAAATGTAAATATACTTAAATAAAACTAAATAAAATGCAAGGGTAGATGTAGAGATTGTATGTTTTAATAGCTTTTTTTGTTTTTAATCTTTTTTATTGAAAGTGGTGTGTGCGTGTTGGTGGTGGTTAGAGCGGCAGATCCGTCAGTCTGTCTCAGGGCAGCTGTGGCAATAGTACTATTACCGTATTACCGTATTTTCCACACTACAAGGCGCACTGTCATTGAATGGTCTATTTTCAAACTTTTTTCACATGTAAACCGCACCGGACTATAAGGTGCATTAAACGAAACACAACAGATAAGTCAGTCAAACTTTATTTAACACGTTCACAATAACTCTTAACTTTGTTCAATTGTAACGATTAAAAAAAATACTGTCGGAGACGCTAAATTGTTTTCGTATTCACAGTAAGTCCTCATTGTTCAAACAGTTGGGGGATTCCAGCGTCCAGCACGTCCACATCCCTCTCGTCATTATCCGAGTCAGTGTGGTTACTGTTCCCTGGAAGTTCAGTGATGAGTCTGGTCTTGGTGAAAGCTCGGACCACAGTTGATCCTTAGCCCGGGCGTCCATGATCCGTTGGCAGATCGTGGCGTAAGTCTCTCGGCGCTGTCTCTCTGTCTTGGTGAATGTGTGTTCTCCTCTCATCCACTGCTCCCACGCAGCTCGCACTTTCACTTTATAACAGCCTTGAGTTTAAAGTGGGCGTTGTGAGTGTGTCTCTTGACAGGTGCATTTTGATATTAAAAGGAATCACAGTGTGTATTACTCCTGATGTTCCTGACTACTGGAGCCATAATGCTGTAAGTGGTGCGGCTTTGTAGTTTACTAAAGTCGTACTAAGGCACCCCAATAAAGTCATATATAAGGCGCTCTGGATTATAATGCGCGCAATCGTTTTTTGATGAAATTAAAGGCTTTTAAGTGCGCCATATAGTGCGGAAAATACGGTACATGGAAGTGTGGAGTGAACAAATAATGCTCTGAAAAATGCGTTTGTGTCATGAAAGGCGCTTTATAAATCAAATGGATATTATTGATATTATTACCGAGAGAATCAGAACTACTCTTTTATTTTGAGTTCTGGAGAATCGTCAAACTTGTAAATTGGGGTAGAGCCGCCGAAAAATTGTCTCCAGTAAGACTAAAGTTACCACAAAATAAAATTACACACGTAGAAGTTCAAAGCAGAGGTTCAAGAAGAGGTAAAGAAATTACTCGACTAAGGCTACGTTCAGACTGCAGGGCTTAACGCTCAAGTCGGAATTTTTTGGTGAAATACGATTTTTTTGCGAGGTCGTTCACATTTCCAATTAAATGTGACTTGTATGTGATCTCCATTGTGAACTTTAAACGCCCCAAAAGTGTCCCGCATGTGCACTGGAGACACGACGACGTCACACACAGCGAGCGTACTCAGTGTTTACAGAAGTCGCCTAAACTCTGGGTTTGTCTCAGAAATACGATCCAGTTCTTTGTAAAATTGACAGGTTACACGTCCACGACTGCTTTGTTTTTTTTTTTGAGTCTTTAGCCTCCTTATATTTGGCTCGCAGGCTCTTTGTTTTTCGTTGACACTGGAGCCAAGAGGTTAGCCGCTGGGTCTTAAAAGTCTTAAAAAGGTCTTAAGTTTCATGTTCCTAAATTAAGGCCTTAAAAAGTCTTAAATTATGTTGTCTAAGTCTTACAGTTTTCACAAAGGTCTTACATTTCATTAGCCTATTTTTTTGTTTACTCAACTGGGCTGCAGTGCGATGTTAAATGAAGGGAGGGTAAAAAAAAAAAAACAACAACGTGAAATAACGTAACATGAATGAACGTCTACTGTAATTTGGAGTATGCGCAAACAATACTTTGGTTTTTGGCGCCGGCAGCAATGAGTAAACAATCAGTTCCGTCTACACTGATCAAGACGCAAAACTCTGGTCAGATCTGCTCAGGTCGGGTACGTGTTTACGTCACATACATCACCACCGATCCGCCTGACATGCATACATAATCGAATTCCACACACTTTTGCGTCACTGTATGCACGCAGATTTCCTCCTGAAAACATTTGTCTAAACACGGAATAAAAAGTGAAGACGCGACGCCACTTTTGCGTTTTCTGTTCAGACCGTCATCATATAAACGTAGCCTATAATTTACAGTTTTTACGGCACGTCTTGGAGGAGGCATCACCATTATACGATGGCCTGACGACTACTTTGCCTTTAACTTGTCAACGCAATTCCTACCTCCTCGTCGCCCGAACTTTTCTCGCCCTTTGCCACAACTTTCCTCTTACGCCACAGCAGCAACAGAAGACACAATATGTCTTCTGTTCAGACCGTCATCATATAAACGTAGCCTTAGATTCTAGATATAGTACCGGTATTTGGTCATTATTAGAAGTAGACCTGGTGTTTTTCGCCACATTGGTCTTAATTTTCATTTACGTGGTCTTTAAAAAGGTCTTAAAAAGTCTTAAATTTGGGGTAGTCAAACCCGGGGATACCCTGCTGTAGCTGCGCTCGGACATTACTTTGGCAGTCATTTCAAAAACCGCCCGGTTCCGATAAGACTCCTCCAATTTGGCCTGAATACAGCGATCCCTCCAAATATTAATGAACTCACTAACCTCGCTTTCCCTCCATTGACGAGACTCCGAGCCTGACGTGAAGGTGGGATGAATGTGACCTGACCGTTCAGACTGAAGTCGCATGTCAAAAGATCGAATATGTATCAGTTTTAGGAGCACATATCCAAGTGTCCTGGGTCACATTTGAAAAAATCTGATCTGTGTCGTTCAGACTGTCATTAAAAGATCAGATACAGGAGCATAGGGGCCAAAAAAATAAAAATAAAAAATCAGATTTGGGTCAAGAGTTAGAGCTGCATTGTTCAACTTTTCTGGTGTTCGGTTGTTCAAATTCTTCCTGGTGATCTTATTGCTTTGTCTGGAATGTTTCACAGTATGGCATTAAACCTTTCTATCTCCACGGAGACCAAAGTAGACCAAGTTACAGGTCAGATCTGTGGAGAGGCGACGCCGCTCACAGTCAAAATGTTGTTTTTCTAGGTATTTTTGAGCTTTAAAACCACCTGCAGTTGAATAAATGTAAAGTACAGCTGTTTAAAGTCACACTGTGGGACATTTCTGACAGAACGATGACATATCCATAGAAACAAGCAGGTGACGGACCACCCTAACCAAAAAGTTCCACAGTGCAGCTTTAACTATCCGGGTGTTATTAGTATTCAAAGCATATGACACAATAATTTGAAAAAAAAAAAAAAAAAAAAGTGTAAATTATATTTGTAGGAGGGAAGCAAGAAGCAGAAAATTAAAATCAAATCATTTCTTAACGCTTTTGTCACTTGTGGACTGACTCACAGTGCGAGGATCTACAAAAAACCACGCAATTCTGTTAAAAAAAAATCACTAAAAATAGCTAAAATATTATACGCAGAAGTCCGATCCCTGTGAAAACGTTACTCGAGTGAATGTAAGTGAGTACTACCCACATGTGCGTGTAACGGGGATCCGGTTTTGTCGCAGGCCTTAAGTCCTCTGGCCCCTTTTCTGTGTCTGTGGACGTGTCATAGCCCAGATTTAGACTAGATATTTGAGACACATCCATCTCTAACCATGATTTCTGAAGGCGATAGGCACTGAGTCACGCCGGCAACTGCTCGCACCAAATCAAAAACACCGACTGCTGCCGTTTTGAGATTCACAGTTGCGTTTGAGATCGTCTCGGAATAGAAAGAAAATGTAATGTTTTGATCGTAGCTTGTATAATTTTGTTTTTGTTTATGTTTTTCTTATTTTGGAATTGATCAGTTGTGTCTGAAAAAGGTCAGATATTACGCAAAATTTACTTTATTATTAATCTGTTTACATTTCCTAAGCTCAAAATGCTCAGTTCCACCTTGTGATGTCATGAAGTGGTAGTTTTCAGCAACCTTTTACCTTTTTTTCCAGTAGACATTGGCAATTCCAGGGCTGAAATAATCCACATTTTGTGAATATGTATGGAGTTTAAAAACACAGTGGAACGCTTCCTGTATTACCACATGACATCACAAGCTGGAATTGAGTTTTGGCTTTTTTTTCAGTTTGAGAGAAGAAGTCAGTCTAAATTTACCTTTTTTCCAGTAGAGATTGGCAATTCCAGGGCTGAAAATATCCAAATGTTTCTTGTGAAGATGTATGGAGTTTAAAAACACAGTGGAGCACTGCCTGTATTACCACATGACATCACAAGTCACAATCAAGTTTTTTTCAGTCTCAAGTCAGTCTAAATATGTAGGGTTTTGCAATTAATCAAATCGGATTTTATGTGTCAAACGATCTTCAAACTCATTTAATCGAGTTGAAACGATTTAGGGCGCACTCACACTAGGACTATATTAGGGATGTGCAAAAATATTGAATTATTGATATATCGTATCGTTTAATGTGATGATACAGTATCGATATCGTGGGCTGCTGTGTCGATATACCGTCAAGAGTATTTTTTTGGTATATTTTACTACATTATTTTGTTAGAGGAAACTCCTTTATGTGACACATTTGTCATTTTCACTGTTTTGATGATTCAGATGTTTGTGTTTCATATGAACTTTGCACAAGAAGTGGTTTAACAAAGACTATCATTTAGCTGTTACTTGTTATTGAACCGTATCGAATCGATTTGGAATCCGTGATCAATGTACAGAAGCGACCACATCATTTTTGAAACTATGTCATGAACAGTGTTGGGTTCATATAAGTTTTTGTTCTTCCCACTCCTTTTCGGGAGATGTGCTTTTCTGTTGTTAACAATGTATATGTAGTATATATGATTATTTTCTCTCTTGGCACAAACTCGAAATAAAAATCAATCAATCAGTCAATCAAATATATCGTATCAAATTGAAAGTGCACTGGATCGCGGTATGTACTGGCAACTTCTTAATGATACCTAAGCCTAGACTTTATGATTCTAAAGTCCTAGTGTGAGTGCTCCCTAAAGCTTAACAAAGTTTATTTTAGGATATTTTTTACATAAATAAGTATATTTATTTAATTTTTTAGACATAGAGACACATTTATGTTTTTCTGTGCCTTATTTCATGTTCAAAGTTTATTTTATTCATTTTATGTTTTATACGTCGCAAAACTGATCTAAAGTACTAAGGTTCAATTTGGAAGTTTTGCGTAAATTATCAATAACAAAGTGTTTTTTGAGAGAGAAACGAGGAATAAATGCACTGTGTAACAAAAAAAAATCGTCTGAATAATCATGATTTCAATATTGACCAAAATATTCGCAATAATGATTTTTCTATAATTGAGCAGCTCTAGTTTGTGAGTTAAACTTGTGTGAATGAAGCAAAACACAACTCCAGGTCCGTTTGTGACGATGAAATGACAGTATAACACATCAGAAAATAACGTAATATGAGCACTTTAAACACAAACCACAAATATAATCACAAGTGCAATGTTTAGTGTGTGTTTCCAATGTTTTTCTACGCTTATTTCAGTGATTAAAAGTGATTAAAATGTAAATGACGGTGACTTTCTCCTCTGTGTGTTTTCCCAGACCTGGAACAGTGCTGACAGTACAAGCTCTATCAGAGGATGACCAGAAGTTTTGGATGCAGGCGATGGGTGGGAAAGAGCCCGTGAGTCATGTTCACTTGTGTTACAACATCTTCCAGAACACGCAAACGAAATCACCATCACGCAAACGAGCTGACTTCCTTTCAAATAATACACACAAAATAGGGAACTGTGAAAATGCAGCTGTCTAAGAATTAACTACCTTGTTATAACGTTGTTCCCTCATCAAACTGTAAAATGTAAAAATACGGTAAATGTATTTTTCAACATTTCTGCACAAATTGCTCTTTAATCACTCTAAAACTCAAACTTTTATTTATAAGAGGGTCCGGTCAAGTGGTAACGGAGGGAAACAGGGGCAGATTTTTGACATTCAAATGTCTCTTATTCAGAAACTAGAGGGACTATTGAAATAAGTAAAGTATCAGAATGTAGGAAAGAGTTACACTCCAACAGGGTCAAGTTAAACCTGTGATATTCTTTCAAGTTGTTGACCAAAAAATGTAAAAACTCATGTCGGGTAACGGAGGGAATGAAATATGCAGCACTTTTTGGGCAATAAATCCAAACAGTGATAACTCTTGGTTCTCACTTACATATCCTTAACAAACTGGTTTGAATATTTGCTTCATATAGTTTTCTACCATATGGTACAAGATTAGGTTGAAAAACCTCTTACTTTTTGACTCATGAGATTTTTTATTAAGAAAGGTCATGGTAACGGAGGGAAAAGTAACGGAGGGAAAATTGTACAAACAAGTAGAAGGTGCAGGATTTTACATAATTTGTCGACTTTTTTCTTCTGAAAACTTTAATATTACTTCAAAATGAAAGGAAACTATTTCTATAAAATATGTCAGTCCTTCCAAGCAAATTTTTATCATTTTGAAATACATTTAAAAAAAAAAAAATCATGTACCTTCATCAACAGTTCAAAGATGGAATAACACAAGATATGATGAAATACATCCATTTATTTACATGATTTGCAGGTCTTTGAAATTTGGGAAATAATTTTTGTTCCATGTTTCGTACATGGTCTGTTTAAAACGTATGGCACTTTAGAACCAAAAATGGTACAAAAAAAAAGATAAACAGTTTCAAAAACTAGAGTACATATGTATCTGTTGAATACATTTTTATATCAGATGCATTAACTTGAATTTTTGGCCTTGTGTTTACTTCTGCTTGACCGGGCCCAAGATCTCATCTGTTATAAGACAAAATTGCCACAAGCTCGTGCACACAAAAGAAAAACGATCTTGTGAGATTTTTTTTCCATTTGTTTACGTTTTGATTGGATGAAAAAGGGTCACGTGTTGGTCTCTTACAGTTCCAAAAAGCAGGAGTAGAATGACAGAGAAAACAAAAATATGAAACCAAGTAAATAAAAAATGATGAAACCAAAATTGGAAACTGAATCGTGACATGTATATATTAGAAATGATGTTAAAATCTCGTCTTGTCTCGTTCTCGTGGGCCCGATTCTCATATCTCGTCTTGTGGAAATTGTCTCATCCAACACCAAAATACGATTAATTTCAGCCATGAACACATTAAAACTAGAATAAAACACGAACATGGGGAACTCTCAGAGCTAAACTGCACTTATAAATTGCTTTGACATTAATTTTACTTAGAAATGTGTTTATTTTTAACAGACTGGACATTATCTAGGAAGAACGTATTCAAAAGAAAGAGGAAGTAAGTAGCAGCTGCAGCTTGTGTATTTTTGTTTAATGACATTTGAGACTTTATTTTTATAATTTATATTTCAAAATCTATTCCAGTCGACGCGCAGCTCGATGACGTGGGCTTGAATTTTGTGAAGAACTCCATTAACGCCATAGAAAAGAGAGGTGAGTAAATCAAAATAAAGAGTAAAATGGCAGTAATGGCGCAGTTTGAACACTAGAGGGCAAACTTGCTTCAATATTAAAACAGCAGCAATCCACAAAGTTCTAGCTGATTCTTTTGCTTTCAGTGTTTTGTTATTATAGTTTTAGTAATATTAAGTTTGTCGTAGCACATATATAAACCAAAAAAACCTACATTTAGAGATATTAATTTGAAACTTCCCTTTTTGTTGTCGTTAACGCACTTAAATTAAAGGAAAATGTTTAACAAGTCTTTCATCATGTCATGTTTTTATACATTTATACACACATTTCATTAAAAAATATGGTGTTTTTTTGTATTTATTGATCTATTTTAAAACACAAACATGAAAAGAGACAGATTTAAGTGTCTTGCGTCTTTTTTTGTGATTTTAGACCAAGGGTGGGCAATTATTTTTTCTCTGGGGACACATAAGAAACAGAAAATATTATAGAGATCCGGGTCAAAATTCTTAACTCAGTTCTCAATTCTGCATAATATTAATTGTATTTCTTTATAAAAATGTGTAAATATTATTGTTTTGATGAGCTGGCAGGAGTTTGTTATGACTAAGAAATGAAAAAGTGAGGTTGTCTTATAAAAAATGTAACTAAAAAACACCTCTAACATAAAATCACTGCAGCTTTGGTCCATGCATGAGGCAAATTAAAGAATATTTTTATTTTGTCATTCCAAATTATCTTAAACGGGCCGGTCAGAGTCAACCAAAGAGCTGTATGTGACCCGGGAGCTGCACAATGCCCAGGTCTGTATTAGATACTAAAGAAAATACAGAATACAGAATTTTGGATCTCATTTTGTATTTGAGGAACCTGGATTTGACTGAAAATGTGCCTAAAATTTCAGATTTAGACTCATTTTTTGGAGTTACATTAAATCACAGTTAAAGAGAGAGGTTATTTAATCACATATACAGCTTAAATCTTATCATAGTTCCCAAAAATATATATATTTAGGACCAAAATAATGAGTTCCTGTTAACATTTTTGAATGATGATGTGACTTTTAAAACAGAAACATGAAAAGAGTCAGATTTAAATGTCTTGGTTAATACTGTTGTCATATTATAGATACTCAGAATATACAGAGAGGATTTTGGATCTCATTTAGTATTTGAGTAAACTGGATTTGACTGAAATTTTGCCTAAAAATTCTAATTTGATCTAGTTTTTTGCAGTTAAATTGAACCACAATCAAAGAAAGAGGTTACATAATCGCATATACATATTAAATCTGATCATATTTCTCCCCAAAAATTTGATTTAGAACCAAAAATAATAATTAACATTTTTGAGTGATGACAGTTTATTTTAATGTTTTGTCTTTTTTTTCCATTAAAAATAAGCTGTTTTATTGTGACTTCTAAAACAAAAACATGAAAACAGTGAGATTTGCACATCTTGCTCCTGTTAAATGTAATATTTGATACTAAAAATATACAAAGAGGATTTTGTCTCTCATTTAGTATTTTAGTAAACTGACTGAAAATTTGCCTAAAAATTCAGATTTCACCTCATTTTCTGGAGATAAATTAAACCATAATTAACAAAAGAGGTTAATTAATCACATATATAACTTAACTCTTATCATATTTCCCAAAATAATTTATATTTAGGACCAAAACATGTATACAGAGAGGATTTTGGATCTTGATTTAGTGTTTGAGTAAATTGGATTTGACTGAAAATGTGACTAAAAATTCAGATTTCGCCTGAATTTTTGCAATTAAATGAAACCAAACTTAAATAAAGAGGTTATTTAATCAAATTTACAGCTTAAATCTTACCATATTTCTAAAACAAATTGATATTTAGGACCAAAATAATGAGTTCCTGTTAACATTTTGGAATGACGACAGGTCTAAGTGATGTTTATTTTAATGTTTTGTTTTTTTTTTTAGGCATCAATGACCAAGGCTTGTACAGAGTGGTCGGGGTCAGCTCCAAGGTCCAGAAGCTTCTCTCACTCATGATAGGTAAATTCTTTTCAATTTCTATCGTATATTCACTGTCAACAACATTTCCTGGAGTTGTGACGCTAACTGTAAGCACTGCTCTGTCTGAAGCTGCTGTTAATCGAGTTAGACTTTAATCTGAGCTTCGTTTTGACACAATCTGACCATAGTTTTTCGGTCCGTCACTCTTTTGTGTTGAAAATCGAACTCTTAAACAGAACCGCGAACGCTCGTTTTGATCACAGGCTCCTGAAAATGTGCAGTTTAAATCCATTTTGTGTTTTTTCAGACAATTTTAAACTTTTTGGCCGTGTTTGTTAATGCGAGTAGGGTGACCAGATGTTCCTATTTACCCGGGACAGTCCCAGTTTTGAGCTTTTGACCTAGTGGATTTATCCGAAAACCATTGATTTGTCCCAGTTTCATAGTAGTAGTAGTTTACTCGGTCATTTTGCAGCACTGCTAAAACAAAACCAAAACAAACATAGACTACAACCTCACGGATCATGACCGAAAGGGTTTAGGCTGGAGTTAAAATACTTATAACGCCAAATCTTATTAAACAGTGACAGAATTCCAAGAAAGAAAAGCAGCGTATGAACAGCAAGTTTGTGTTTACTATTTCACTTATGACTTCCTGTATATATAAGAGACAAAATATAAGTTAAAACAACAAAAATTAATGCATAATTCATTCATTCCAGAGCTCTATATCCTTCAAAACATAACGCTTTATACATTTCAGTGATTTGTCTCAGTTTTATACAAGAAATGTTCTTATATTTGACTAATTTGATCCCTGCTGACAGCAAAGTGAGGCATAAATTGTAATTTGTTTAGATACATTTTCAAAAATCTGCTTAAAAACGACCAAAACACAAAGAAAATGTGACTATACTGACTCATGGTTTCTGCGTAACAATCTTCCTTTATTACGCACTCGTTCCTCAATTTTGTTATTACCAATCACCAAAAAAACGGGGATGTCCCAGTTTTTTGTTTTGAAACCTACACCTGTGTTTTCCAAAGACACTCAGGTGGGTCGCAAGAGATTTTTTTGAGTTACCTTGTCACGTTCTGTAATATACAGTTCTGACACATGTTGAAATGTTAAGACATGTTTTGTATCATTTCTAATCTTTTTGTAATTATTTTATAGATTATTTTGTTCCAATGTTGCTGGTTCAATAGACTGTTGAAAAGAAAAAGAAATGGGCCACATTTAATGTCCAAATAGTTGACTTATGGATCCTTTTATTGCTGCTTCAATGACACTTTTCAGTCTTTTCATCACAACAGTAGAGATTTAAAATAAAGTGACCAACATAAATAAAGTGACCGTCTATCAATGAAATGACTGTAAAATAAAGAGCTGCACAAAACCTGCACACGTACATTCTGCACTCGTATGACCTGCACACGTATCTGTGCACTTTGTTTAAAACTTGAGTAATACGAATTGTTCAGAGAGACACAATCAGTCAATCAGTAATAAAATATCCTCATTAATGTTCAGTAATGCTCAAATGTGACAAACATTACAAATATTGAGTGCGTATACTAGGGATGGGCATTCGATGAAATTTTCTTAATCGATCGTCGGAAGAATTAACGATCGATTATCGATTAATCATTAACGTTTTTATATTAAAATGATCATCATTATTATTACTATCTGCACTACTAATCTGCATAAATAAATTCAACTTAACGACATATAAACCGTAACGACTCTAGAGCCACATCAGCCCGTTTGACATTATCATGTGTTTAATTCAGTTTTGTTCAACTCTCACAGAAACAAAACTTAAAACTGCATCGCTAATTTGCATAAACTCAGCGAAGATAAAACTCCAGCTCTTGTGTCGCTGATGTGGTTCAATTTCTTTGTCGGATTAAAAGACATGACTCAGGTGAATACAGGTTAGTGTGACCAGATTTGCGTTTGTCAAAACCAGGACAGCCGTACGGGGGGAGGGGGGGGGACCTCGTCATCCACATTGAGCGACTCTCACCTGGTAAAACTTTTTCCCACTGGACACAGAAACATATGTGCTGCTTTATACACTGTGCACATGGACTCACACTTGTCCCGAACGCAACGGAAAGCGTGGAATTTCTTATACAAACCATCGTTAAATACACATTTGTGCTTCGGTTCATTACAGACTGACCGAGTGTTTGTGTCTCGCTCCTTCTGATGCAGAGACACATGTACACACCCTGTTTAGTCACACTACGCACAGCAACCTACATTCGGTTTGTCGATAAAAATTAACGTAATCGATGAAATTCTTAATGATCAATTATCGATTAATCGATTAATCATGCCCATCCCTAGCGTATACATGCACATCAGTATCGCGGTTATGTCAGTATTCGGGTTACTGCGTTTACATGCGCACTGAGAAACCGGGACACTCATATCCCTGTGTACATGATCAAAGGGAGTATCCCGGTTTCTTGACATAATCTTATAAATGCGCAAGTGCAAAAATGAACTTAAATCAATTTAATAAACCAGGAAAAATACAAACTGTGAGCTCCTTTAGCGTCGGAAGTCCGGGAGGTTTAACCTACAGTAAAGATCTATGACATATCCCACAATTCCACTGCACAGATCAAACCAACAGATTCTTCATTAAAATCATCTGCATAAATAAACTCAACTTTACAACATCTAAACCTTAACCGCCGTAGAGCCACATCAGCCCGTTTGATCATATAATTCAACTTTGATCACATTTGTTTACATTGTACAGAAACTAAACTTAAGACCGCATGGATGAAAACACCTCGCTCCTTGATTCAGTCTGCGTCTGTCGGACTAAAGGACGCGACTCAGTGGATTATGTGTGTTCTTTTTGTGACAGAGGAGGTGCTGATGATGGTGAGTCTGTTCTGTGCGTATATCGTGTAGGAGATCGTGTCGAGGTCGTACGTGTGCAGATTGTACGTGCGCAGCTTTTTATTTTACAGTCATTTCACTCATGTTTGGTCACTTTATTTGTCGGTCACTTTATTTATGTCGCTACTGTTGTGGTGAAAAGACTGGAAAGTGTCTTCTGGACGCATGTGCACTCAACTTCATGTAGCAGTAACCGCGATACTGCGTTTACATGCCACAGTATCCCGGTTACTATCGGAAAATACCAACTACAGTATCCTGGTTTCTCATAACCGGGATACTGAAACCGGTCTCCAGCTAAACTCTGACAAGACTGAAGTCATAGTGTTTGGTCCACAGAAACAAAGGGACAGTGTCAGCATCACCTCCAGTCTCTCTCTCTAAAACCTTCAAATCAGGCAAGAAATCTCGGGGTAATAATGGACTCAGACTTGAACTTTAACAGCCACATCAAGTCAATAACATCTGCAGCCTTTTACCATCTAAAAAACATAGCAAAAATCAAAGGTTTACTGTCTAAATCAGACTTGGAGAAACTTATCCATGCGTTTGTCTCCAGTAGATTAGATACTGTAACGTTCTGCTCACTGGTCTCTCCAAATGAGCTGTGAGATGCTGCAGAACATCCAAAACGCTGCAGCTCGGGTCCTGACTCGAACTAGGAAGTACGAGCACATAAGTCCTGGTCTCAGGTCTCTGCTCTGGCTCCTGTGGCTCAGAGACTTTAAAGCAGCTCTGTTTGTACAAGTGTCTCCATGGCCGAGCACCAAAGTCCATCTGTGACATGTTAGTGTCATATGAACATCTCACACTCTGAGGAGCTCAGGGACCAACTCCTGCTGGTGCCCAGAGTCACGACTAAACAAGGGGAGTCAGAGTTTCAGGTTCATGCAGCTAAAACCTGGAACAGTCTGAACATGTGAGACAGACTCTTCTGTGACGCTGTTTAAATCCAGACTCAAAACATTTCTGTTTAACTGTGCAAATGAACTGAAAGGTTTTCATTCCGCACTCTTCTCTCCAATTTATGTCTCTCTTTTTAAAATTTTAATCTTCATGATTATTTATGTTTTGATTTGTTTTTATTATGATTTTAATGTATTTCTTATTCTGTAAAGCACTTTGAATTACTTTGTGTACGAATTGTGCTGTACAAATAAACTTGCCTTGCCTACATGCACCATGAAGAAACCGGGACACTCAAAAAACCCGATCATAACCGGGATACTGGTGTGCATGTATACGCACTCAAAGTCAAGGTTTGTGACTTTTAAAATATGGGTCCTAGAAAAAAAGTTTGGGAAACACTGATCTACACCTTGGAAACTCCACAACTTTCTGCCATGTACATGCACGCAAAACACCCCCATAGTGATGTTACAGCAGAGTTAACAATTCAACTCAACTTCAGTTATTTAGACGCAGTTAAAAATGTGAACGAAATTTTGTCCCAGTCACAATTTTCAGAAAACGACGTAAGTATAATCTAACAAAACAAAAGAATCAATAGAACATCAAATGCCGTTTCCAACACATTACACTTTTTGTTCTGCAGGATTATTTTGTATTTATTTATTTATCGACTACTCGGAAAAATTAAATTGCTCTTTAAAAATATTTGTAAAGACGGGACAGGTAATTTCAATTGTTTTTAAAGATCAAAGTATAAGCTTTTACCAACTGAATTCAAATGTTTTTTGGTTTTCCCTTCCACCTGATCGCGTTCACTCTATTGTTTGTTCGGCAACTCTTTTCCACTTTCGGAGCCTTAAGTACAGTTTAATTGCGATCTCTCTCTCTCCTTTTCCTCCTCCGAACCACTTAACCAACTTTTCAGCACAATTTCGTCGGCCCACAGCGACGAACGTATCTTTGTAAAGTGCTAATTTTTGCTAATAAACAATAGTATTTCAATAGCGCCGCAGTTCCTGGTCCATTTTCGGCCGTTTTGACGCGAACCTAACGGCAAATCTGCAGCTTTGTGGTGTTCAAAAACAGTGAAAAAGTGAGTATATCCTGCCTGAATTGGCTACTGCAGTTTCAAGTACTACGTGACATCACACAGGACTGGTCGGGTTTTTTTTTTTTTTTTATCCAAACAATTTAATCTTTA